AAGACACACACCAAGTGCCGCAACTGCGGGGGTCCACACATATCAGATAGTCGGGACTGTCTAGCTCGCCCTACAAAGTCTGGGACGGCCTCCAAGGAAAACCTACAGACCATAAGGCAGGCTAGCCGACGCGAAATCGCGGCAGTTACTCGGGCCAAAGCAGCTGTCAAACGCGCAGAGGCAGCGATGACAGCAGCCGCAGAAGCGTCAAATACTAACCAGCCAGGTTTCAAATCCACCAACTGTTTTGAAGTTCTCATATCCGACGCTACAGCGACTGTAGCCGAGGTCGATGAGGCATCAAATCAGCAAAAATCTTTGTGAAGGGCACCCCACGGGTCTCTTCGACCCTCTCTCCTACTCTAAGCTTTATGTCAATAAACGTAGGTAGAGGGGGCTCAACGCAAAATATTGCGCTTGCCCGAGCATTTGAGCTGGGTATCGACGTGGTTCTTGTTCAAGAACCTCTGTGGAATAAACAAAAGAACACAACAAAGGATCACCCAGGATATACCTATCATCTGCCTAACGGCGGCGAAAATGTTAGGCCGAGGGCTGTGACCTATACCCGGATAGACGATAAAAAGATATCGGCAACACAGATCTTTCCTTATGTTGTGTCTACAGGAGACTATTGCTGGGTAGAAGTGAACGGCATTACCTTTCTCAACGTCTACAGGGCACCCAATGACTCGACAGCTATATAGCCTCTAATCAACTGGATTCCACCGCCAAACTCCGTCGCTGCTGGGGACTTTAACTCGGTATATTGGGCTTGGCAACCTGGCGTGGAACGTCCTCATGGACAAGGAGAAATGATCGAGAAATGGGCAGACAAACACCATTTGATCTGTCATATTATTGGGGAGCCCACTCACCGAGCTGGAAACACGCTAGATCTAGTTTGGAGTAATGTCGACGGCGCCCGTGCTTGGGTAGATCGTGGTGGATGTGTCACCAGCGATCACTTCCCTATCCGAGGACAAATTCCAGTTCGCAACTCAGTGATGAGACCCGAAAAGGCAAAACTCCGAGTAACAAAGGATAAGCTACCCAGATACGCCAAGGTAATTGTACAGTGGGTCAGACCACCACCAGTTCTTGACACAATCGAGAGGGTTGAAGAGTATGCCGAGGAAATTTGTTTCCATCTCACTAATGCAATCAATGCAGTAGGAACACGACCAAAAGCCCGCTGCGGCAGATCTGCTCCGTGGTGGACCCCAGAGTGCAAGGCAGCTTTCGCTGAGTACAAAAGCGCGATAACTCCCAGTCAACGGGCACTCAGCGCGAGAAAGCTCCGATCAGTTGTGAAGACCTCGAAAAAGAAGTTCAAAACCCAACAGGTCGAATCAATTACTACGCCGACTGATGTATTCAAGCTAATGAGAATGGATAACCCCAGACAGGCTAGTATCCCTCCGCCACTGAACCATAATGGGACGTTGATAACAGATCCATTAAAACGGGCCACGATCCTTCGCGACTCCCTCCTGGCACGATTTCAGGCATCAGACGACTTGTCACCATGTACAGTCGCGAGCAGCAGTCGGATACCATGGGAAGAGGACGTAACAGATGAAGAGGTCCGAGCCTGTACCATTGGCTGCGGAAATATGGCCCCAGGAGCAGACGGAGTCTCCGTAAACCTGCTGGAGGCGTGTTGGAATACAATTGGGCCTTGGATTTCCCAACTGTTCCGAGCTTGCATTCTGCTTGGCACCCATCCAAAGTGTTTCAAATTAGCCGAGGTGGTCCTCCTTCAAAAGAACGATAGAGACCCAACGACAATTAAGGGTTGGAGACCAATCGCTCTTCTCTCATGCTTGGGAAAAGGGTTAGAAAGGCTCTTAGCTAAGCGGATGACACACCTTGCAGTTATCCATGATGTGGTCGGCCAGCAACAGTTTGGCGCACTGCCGAAGCGCTCAGCAACGGATCTAGTCTCATGTGTGGTCCACGACATCGAAGAGGCGAATTCACAAGGATGGGCAGCTACTTTTGTAACGTTGGACGTTCAAGGAGCATTCGACGCGGTACTCCATAATCGATTAGTAAGGAGGATGCAGGAGCAGGGATGGCCGGAGTCTATTCTCAAATGGACTAGCTCCTTCCTCGCCAATCGGATGGTTCAAGTGCGATACTCTGGGGGAGTCACTGCCAAGAGAGAGTTAGTGTGCGGAGTTCCACAGGGCTCACCGATCTCGCCACTTCTCTTCCTTCTATATATGGCAGAGCCCATGCGAAGTGGAACCCCGGGTCTGAGGTTTAGCTACGCCGACGATATTGGTATCCTTGAATTTGGCCGGACGATGGCAGAGTCTGCAGCCGCAGCACAGGAAGAGGTCAATAACCTACTAGATTGGGCTCGAAATAATGCTGTCGCTTTCGATACAGACAAGTCCGAAGTCGTACAATTTCCCGGACGATACCGCGAAACATCGGTTGGAATTTATGTCAACGGAACTCTCATAGAGCCGTCGCAAAATGTCCGCTGGCTTGGTATGTACCTCGATCCTCGACTAAACTTCAAACACCACGTCACAACCTGGTGTGGCAAAGCGTTGAAAATTGCACAGCACATGCGTCGCTTCAATACAGCCTACCGAGGAGCCGCTCCTGGGGCGTTGGTTAAAGCGATCGACACATGTATTGTCCCAATCGCAACGTACGAAGCTGACGTCTGGTGGCCTGGCCTTAGACGCCCAACAATACGAGGGATGGTGACACCGCCCACTGCTGGCCTATGTAGTATGATTGATAAAGCTGTCTTAATGGGTCTTAGGTCAGCACTACCGGTAATGAGGACAACACCCAACGCTGTACTACATAGGGAAGGAGGAATACCAACCGGGAAAATCATTCTCGAAGGAAACCGACTTCGCCTCTCTGCCAGAATGCAAACACTTGACGACCGCCATCCGCTCAGGATCCGTGCTGCAGTTTGCCCGAATGTCGGTACGCGAAAATATAAAAAGCACAATCGAAAATCTGCGCGTCCTGAAATTCAAATGTCACGGGCTCAGCGTGCTTATAGACAGCTACCAGAGGCAGAGGCCGCGGAACCTCTTGCCCCACCATTTTGTCAATCGCAGCCGGATTCGAAGGTTGGTTCGAGAAAAGACCATGCAGAAGCCTGTAAACTTTGGATCACTAATGTGCCAAAGTCAGAAATCTGTGCTTACTCGGATGGAGCATCGGAGGGAAAGGGACGCTCAGCTTGGGGGTTTGTCCTAAAGCTGGATGGGAAAACTTTTCAAAAAGGAAGTGGCATAAAGCACGGTGGAGAGGCTTTAGATGCAGAGATTATGGGGGCACAGGAAGCTCTTAAAGCAGCGTTGGGTCACCTAAGAGGAGAGGAGTACCTGGCGAAGGGAACGACGCAGTGCATTAATGTGTTGATGGATAGTCGACATGCGATAAATGCACTGAGCACGGGCAGGTCCTCGACCAGCCACAAGGAAGTACGAAAGTTTCGCGAATTGTCCGGGCTAGCTCAGATAAGAATAAAGTGGGTATCAGGACACTCGGGAATACATGGAAATGAGGAAGCAGACGCAGCGGCCAAATCCGCCCTACGAACGCTTCCCAGCGTGGAAACTGAACCAGCAACCACCACAACAGCGTTTTTACACCAAAAATTGCATCGAAAGCGACAGACTTTGCTCGACAGCTGGTGGAATGAAACTTGCCCGTCATGGTATCGTGAGCTAGATCTGCTCATGCGCCGTCGTAAACCACTAGAACTGGGCTTTCCAGGCTACAGTTACGACATCTCATTGCAGCCCGTACGGGCCACGGCAATTTCGCAGCGTACCATCGTCGATTCAACAATCCGGACGCTATTACAGAGTGCATCTGTGGGGAGGAAACCACCCCTACCCACTTCATACATTGTCGACTCAACGCAAATATCACGCGTCGAATCAGAGGGTCATTGTCACACAATGCCTTCTTACACAAGCTACTCGGGCCTAAGTGCTTCGAGAGCTTCAAACAATTTGCGCAGGATACCAATTGTTTTGGGTATTCTCCTGTGCATCCACCTCCTACTCTCAGTGGAGATCGAATATAACTCGTCAGGAAACCAAACCTGACAAAATGGGAATCGAGGCGAGGAGTATTGCTTCCCATTCTAAATTATTTGCAATTTATCTTTTTCTTTTGTCAATTTTTGGGAAAAGGAGTTCGCGTCGGCGCATATTTTTAACTTACTGCTGGTTTTGTGGCGGTTCATGCGGTGAAATCAAGCTGGGTATGTCTTAGATGTAGTTCTGGCTGTGAACATCGGTCCTGTACTCATAGTGGATTTGGAGCTTTAGCTTAGGACTTGAATAAAACAACAACAACATACAATTTCGACGATCAAGTTTAAAGTCGATAAGAAACTAACTAGTGGTGTGCTGGTTGAACTTAGTATTCTGCATATTTTGCAAGCAAGTTGAAGTCTCTCTCACGACATTATGGTGTCATGTCAGCTGAGTTGAAGTACCTGCTTTCCACCTAATTTATGGGTGCAATGCTATTATATCAAAAAACTTTCATGCCAAAGCCCCATTTTTACACACGAGACATTGTTAATTAAAGCTCAACCTAGAGTTTGCAGCGGGAGTTAAAGTCCTCGATAACTTCACTGATTACCTTGTTGGTGTGTGGTTCATCATTGGCAGCTTCGCACAAACATAGGAGATCTACTCTTTTCAATAACGACCACTACTTTTCTATCAATGTAGCTTTGAGTGATGGTTTGCACCAATAGTTTCAAGGTGTGATATAATTGTGATTTAAACAACAATTTGAGGTCGCAAATTCCTACCTCGTCAGCCTCACAGGTGTGAAATTTCGAGATACATGTATTCAGGATGCAAGTTGGGTTAGCCATAAATCAAAAGAAGACATACCATATCAAGTGAATAGAATATAAACTTTTAGTCGCTGAAGTGCTCTTTATCATGCGTTTGCTTTTTTCAATTATTCGAATTTGTTCATGAAATTCTACTTCAAAAGCCCAAAAGCTTTTCCGCCTTTGCTGATGGATCCTGTAAATGCATAAAGTCAATAAGAATCTTGCTAGATATAATTATAATGTTAATTCTTCTTCTACGTCCAAAATCTGTTCGAGATTTTTCCAGCTAGTAAAATTTATAGTCTGTCAGCTAGTCTCTCATGGTAGCAGGTAGTTCTTCGATGTAATTGTGAACCAATCCTACCTTCAATTTTTCCAATGGTTCTATTAAATGCATTGATCATCTCCTTGTACACCAAATTAGAGTTGCAGACATATTCGTAACAATCTTCAGCATTGCCAAACATTATCTTACGCAACTTCAGGGCCAAATTTCTGATATCAACGAAACTGCTTGAGAGCTTGGTGTTGATAAAGTTCTCAAAATTCTCGTTGATATCTTCAAGCTTATTTTGAAGGGTATCATCTATGTACTTCGCGCGCCATGAATTTAAGTTGTGCAATGGAAGATCAGGGTCTCGTCCATATTCTACACATCCTGTTAGAAACACGTAAAAAAATGATTCTAGATCGAAAATATAAGATGAATTGAAGTTATAATCCCGATCATCTATATTTCCTACCCACATCTCCACTTGTTTAAGAGCCATAAACTTTAATTTGCCCACGGGATACTCAAGTGTGCTCGTCTTACAAGTGTCATGGTCCGAGATTGAAACATTCAAGTCTATTAACATCCCTCTTGATCTATCGTCCGCTGTTGGTGCCACTATAATGATATTATCTTCGGAAATATCGCTATGAATAATTTTCTTGTTATATAGGCCACGGTGCCCCATAAGTGCATCTCGTATGACAATAAGAAATTGTAATACCGATGTACAGGATTTAAGGGGACGTCCGTATGGTGATAGAACGGCTCTAGTCATTTCATAATCATTCATTACCCCATATTTATCTATTTCCTTTCCTTCAGAGTCATTTAACGATTCCTCGTGTTCCATTGTGTACCATTTTTTAGGAACAAAAGCTGATAAATCTTCCCAGACATCACTTAGTTTGTGAATTGTTTCTGACGCCACCAGATTGATTACACCCTTGACCTGGAGAGCTTCTTTCAGTAAATCAATTTCGGATTTCCCGTGAACCTTGTGCCACGAATATTTGACCAGAAATTTCTCGTCAACTGAGCGGTAGCAGGCGGTGCCAGATGATATCAGTTTTTCTGACCGGATGATTGGTTTGGGGTTGATCTCAATCTCTCTGGTCAGCCCGGGCTCACCATCATCAATTGTAATAATGGACCGTCCATCAACTTTGCGAATTGTTGTATCGAGACCCACTTCTTCGTCACTCATCAGTAAATATGAGCAGATGGCACGAACCAATACTTGCTCATCATTTTCGATACTTATAAAGCCCGAGCTGTATGCACCAGTTCGATCAATCAGCCAGAACTCAATAACCTTGTCGAACAAGTAGAATCCGTGCACAAACCGCCGGAGTGGTTGCTGATAAAAAGTTTCCCGAACAAAAGCTGCCAGTTGGATAAACCTGGTTCCCCTTCTATCTTCTACAGGTTTTCCGGAGAGACCACCTATCACCCGCACTTCTTTCCATCGAGGAAGAATAAAGTCCTCACAGATACTTGTGATGTGGAAATCAATCTGTCCCTGACGTCTATCTCTAGAGAATCCTCCAATGTTTGATGAAAGAGATATTTTTCCGCTAAGGGGGAGATCATTCTTTTTTCGAATGAGGGCTGGAAATTGCTCTGATGGTAGTGATGGAAATTCTGAAAGCTGGCTTAAAAATAGATTGTTAAATGAAGCGATCCAATCCCATACTCCTTGCTCAGCCAAATTAAGAGGTATATTTTTGGGGTTATTGTTATCTTTATAATTTTTATAGCTCTCCCATATACGCTTTGTCTGATCAGACCAGGCTTTCCCTTCGAAAAATCTATCCCAGAAACTTGAAACACATGTAAAATTTCGGGATCTCAGCTCCAAATCAATCACTGACCTGGGAAAGTGGTGAAAACTAAAATAACGACTTGGAACTCCGTGTGTATAGAGATTCCACGTATCATTCATTGAGGCTATGATTTTTTTAAAGGGAACAGAATCAAGCACACCGTATGATAGGATTCTATAGACGTTGATGCAAGTTTGTAAAATGAAGGGATCCCCGTAGTTTTGGTTTATTGCGTAAATGATATGATTAAAAATGGAGAGATCATATTGTTCATTTGAGATAGCTCTCTCCGTAGATTCGAAAAATATTAATGGTAATCCCTGGTGTGCACCACTCATACTACCATACGGATATAGGTCATGGAAAAGTTCTTCGAAAGCTGCTTTTTTATCTGGATATTCTTTAGTTTCCAGAAGCAATATTTTCTTAAAGATTACCCTCTTTCTTATAATTAGTTTGAAAGCGTTCCAGTATTGAGCGCAGTGGATTCTCCGCTAGAAATGCGAGAAGTGCCAAATATTTAGACATATCGTGTATTTGGAGATACAAAGGAGATAGTTTCAAAATCTCAATTAGTAGGAAGAATTTATTGGCTACAATTCATTAGACTGTTGGTGAAGTTTGATCCGGAAAAGTCACATGATAATCGGACACAAAGCTCTTTCCTCGTTTTACTATACAGAATGAACCCCCGAAAGATACAAACAACTTGGAATTAGAGAAAATGTTGGAGTCTGACAGGAACTTAGGAGCCTCAATCGGCGAACACTGGGCCTGCTTCTTGCTGCACGGTCAGGGCATGGGGACTTTGCAGACTACCACCGCCGTTTCCAATACCTCGAAGCTCTCTTGACCTGCAGCTGCGGACGAGAAAAGTCACCTGACCACTTTTTCTTTTGTCGACTAGGGCGCAGCCGAGCACGACTGCAAGGTGGACCTCGACATCCCAACCTTGGAATCCCCTAGGTTCTAAGCTCTACAGAAGGGGCTATCGCCTTCAGCAAGTGGGTCCACAAGACTAAGTTTTTTTTTTTTTTTTTGCATCAGATTTTAATTGCGTACGCAGCTATCTAACTATGACACAATATCAGAGAAAAGTACAGAAAAGATGACTCAGTTTATAATAGGAGCACTCATGCCTCGGATTTCATTTGCAAGTACCACTGCGAAGTTATGGTGGCTTTTTCTTCACCCCAAGTCAACCCTCATCCCTGAATACCCACCCAGGCAAACGTCTCAAAAACCCTGAGTTATCCAGACATGCCTCTGTTATCCATCAACTTTTCTCCGCGCGAAATGTAAGCTGAGATGTCTCCTTCCCAAGTGGAGTAGGTGCCCAGGCTACTCAAACTATACCAGAGAACACCGCCAGGAGGCGGACCACAACACCTTCCATCGTTGGCTTGTGTTTATAGTGTCAGCTGCACTCTCGCAAGCGAAGTCTTGGCGCGCACAAAGCTCAATTCGTAAAACTCTTTCCAAAATTCGAAATTTCACGCCCGTCGAAAACGTATCCCTCTTCTGCATCATCTTGTAAACTTGTCCTGATCCCTCTCACGTCCATCCCAAGGAGCTATCTCCCAGATTTGTGCTCCACGCTTTGCTTCCTCCGTCGGGTATAAATATCGGCGTGGGCGTGTATTTGGTGACCGGCTGAGACCAGAGAAAGTCGACGAGAGGTGTGGTCATTGAAACAAGGATGTACTATGTCGTACTTGTAGACTTGATGAAGCTTAGTTGAGAATCGGACTCTTTGGGAGTGAAAGATTGAAATGGTGGAGTAATTTGAATTTTTGCCTCGTGGGCCAACTTCTTTGATGTTGCGAAATTTGACTGAACTTAGCTCTGAGAGAATATTTCACTACCAGGTTCGTAGAGAGCACCACTGACAGGTGTTTAGTCTTGCCCTCCGACTAAGTTTTTTGAAGAGACCAATTTTCACTCCTAGCTTTTACACTCGCTCCATACTAACTATTTAGCGGGACTCAAACGCGTACTAGTAGCTCTGTCTGTACCGGTGGTAGATTATTTCTCCTCTCTAGCATTTAGATTTACATTTTAGTTCTGTCTGCAGTATAGTGAACAGAAGACCTAGAGAAAGGATGCTTTTGGTGTATTTTTAAGTTAGGGGCAACTGGCAGGAGGGCAAGGTCCCAGATAGTTTATGTCGGGATCTTAGAAGCGTTGGCACGTCGGATGGTTTTTCTAGACTGAGCTAACCGGCATGTGGCCTTGGGAAACGTGTTGCGCGCGCTGGCACGACGTAAAAAAAAAAAAAAAACGCACAATTTTTGAAATTCGAAAATTCCCTATTTCCATTTTCCCTTCTCATGATTATTCCTGTGCTTGAGTTCTCGAATTGATGACCATCGAAAGGCGTCCCAAAATGCCTCCGATGAAGAGCAAACGACCGAAGTCGACCATTTCTGTCGGCTTTGAACGGACACACATGTGTCCAAAATCTCCTGGCCTCGCGCAAAAATTATCAAGCTTGTTTGCGAGTGAGGCCTTTGTCCCTGGGAAGTCTTCCACCCTTCCCGATCAAGAGATGACTGATTCTGATCCGATCAGAACAGACAGAAATGGTCAACAGACCGCATAACCCGCCGAGCTGGCCCCCGAGGCAAGCAGCTCCAGGAAAGGAAAGGAGATCGTCAGAGAAAGGACGACCGAACGTGCAGAATCGTCTGCCAGAAAAAATGCTGTGCCAGCCTCAAAAGGCGCAGCATCGACATCAGCTATGGAGTTTCCTCCGGAGCTGCAAACCGTGATGGAGGCCGAAAAGCGACGTACGACGCAAATTACGGCCCGCCTCGACATCTGCTCGACTGCGATAAACAGTGTTGAAGCAGCACTTTCGCCTCTTTCGATCGGCGAAAATAAAGAATTTGTAGACGGTATAAAAGTCTATCTTCGAGCAGCTATTGGCCAGTTCGTTCAATCCGGCCCAGGAAGCACACCACCAGTCCTTCCTGCCCGCCCCGCCAACCCTCACTCACCGAGGGCTCCAGAAATTAGGGCACCTAACTCTACGAAAACCCAGGCTCCGGCCCCAAAGACAACTTGGGCCACCGTAGCTTGTGCAGGATTAGTCAGCAGCGCTGGGCCATCGACAAAGAAGGCAGCACCGCCCGCCCAGAAAGCAAAAAGTGCCAACTCGAGTGAAAAAGTCGATTCACGATTTTTTCTACGCCTTGAACATTCCATCCCTACCGTCTCCTCTCCCCAGCTGGCGTTAGGCTAGCGGTGCCTCAGGTGCTGGGAACCGCTGCCAACAATATCACGTTGGTTCAGCGGGTAAAGACCGGCTTTGCAATAACCGCAAAGGATGAACTCGCTCGAACAGAGCTCCTAGATTCCTCCACATCACGGAGCGAATCTGGAATCAAACTGGAACCAGCATCAAATCTGGTTGCCATGCAAATTGCCACCGTCCCGGAGACAATTCGAACTCTTGCTGGCCCAATTGCCGTGACGGCAAAGATGGTTGCCGACGAAGTCACGCGAGTGACCCAGTTGGTTCCCTTTCTGGTTCGTCCTCATGGGACTAGCAAACCAGGGGTGCCCTACTCAAATTGGCAAGCGCTCTTTCCCCGAGAATCCGCTCCTCGACCTGGATTCCGCCTTTTCGACGACTCTGGAGCTGCAAAGCTTTTCCGACCTCATCGTAAAATCGAACAATGCAAACGGTGTCTTGAATTTCACGCCACCCGTGGTTGTTCCCGCGCTCCAGCTTGCTGGAAATGCGGATCTAATATGCACCCAGAATCAGAGTGCAAGGCCCTCACCCGGTGTCGAAACTGTGGGGGACCTCACCGATCGGATTCCCGGGCCTGCTTAGCCAGACCCAGCAAGTCCGGACCGGTGACTAAAGAGAAGCTAGTGACCATTCGCCAAGTCGAGCAAGGTCACTATGCGGCATTCGCTCGATTCAAAGCTGCAGCCAAAAATGCCGAGGGGGAAATGATTGCCTCTGCGAAAGACGTCTCCATGGAGGAGCGATCGGATTTCGGAATCCTGAGATCCGAAGAAGAAGTCTGAGGGTACAGCAACCCAAGGTGAAGTTTACGACAGCTTCAATTATAGAGCAGGATACCGGCTGAATTCAGGTTATCTGCGAACTAGTCTTTCGCTCTCAGCGGATATAAGAAAAAGTCATGTGGAAGATGTGGCAGGAAAGGGAACGGGCGAGAAGCGCGGGATCCGGACCAATCAGTATTTCTTCCAAATTTGATTTCAGTTTTTGATTTATGTTTTTGATTTTAGTTTTGCTGTTAACTTCTACAATTTCAGTAGAAGTTCATGCGGTTGGGATGAGTTGGGCCTGTACGCAGTGATCCTTGCCGGCTCCACCGGTCCTTGACCCAATGTGGAAAAGATAGTGTTAGCTTAGGACCAAAAGTAAATAAATAAAATTCGAGAAATTCGAAAATTCCCTTTTTCCCAATTTCCCCCTCCAATCACTCGTCGTATATCGAAAGATCAATTTCTCGTGGTACCGCGCCACTCAGCCTTGAAATGGCACCGGTACCCTCAAAGTCCGCGAAAATCGCGAAATCTGTGTTAACCTCCAAAATAGGGAAACACAACCACCAGACAAGTCTGGATACCCCGAAATCCATGCGTGAAATATTTAGAAGCGTGGCAGGTCAGAGAATGAAAGGCTCTGGACTGGCAGCTAACGCCTCCGCTCTCGACCAGATGGAAGTCGACATTATCTCACAATTGGAGGAACGCGGCCAAACCGACACTGTGATGTTGGAAGCCGAAAAAATAATCAATGAATTGATAAACAAGGGTCTAAAAGACTCACGATGGGCAAGCACGGGGGCTGAGAGCTCCCTAGAGGCGTTAAAGACCTCGGAAATTGTCGTCGAGAAAGCAGTCTCGACGAAACCAACGACCGAGCCCGCACGCCGTGCGGCTAGAAAAATTGCTGTTCCCCCAGTAAAGCGGACATCAATCAAAAGCATACCGAGGGGAACGGAAGTCCCCACTTGCACAGAGGCAGCTAATGCCTCAAGACCTCAGCCACCCCCGGCCTCGATTCCAGGGACGGCTGAGTGCCACAATCACTCTGCTGGTGGTGCTCCCACCGGCACCACGCCAAACCACCCGCCTGAAATCGAAGCCCTACTTGAAGCCGAAAGAAATCGGGCCGCAAACACAACAGCCAGGCTCGAAATAGGGTCAACGGTGCTAAAAACATTGGAAAGTGTTATCCTGTCACTAAAAACGACAGATAATAAGGAATACTTGGACGAGATGAACGTGTGTCTAAGGGGTGCCCTCGCCCACTTCTTATGCACTGGGACCACACCAGTACCGACAAGCCTCCCTCTCCGCCCCATCGGCCAGCAGGTCAGCAGCAGCAGGACACTCTCACCGTCGACCGTCAGGCCGGCAAAGCCTGCCGTCGCGGTCCCCCAGATAACTCCAACCTGGGCAACTGTAGCCGGGAATGAGTTACCAAATCACCCGACGCCAGTGATAGCAAGTGGTGCCCTGAAAAAGCCGACCCCGCCGAC